TTGCTATTGCTATTGCTATTGCTATAGACTAAACAATGAGGAAGAAAAGGAAGATGGAAGGCTGAATCAACCTTGAGCCAGTGAGATTCAAACTGGGGGAATTGTTGGCAGGGAGCAGAATTAGTCTGTTAGTACTGCTTTCTAACCACTGTGCCATCATAGCTCATAGAATTACTTCTGAGCCGTTTCCTCACCTACGGAGAGAAATCTTGCCAAACTAAAACAACTACTTGCATCATTATAGATGCCCTATGAGAATTTCTAGGGCGGAGATATTTTAACTTCTTTCTCCCAATCAGAGTATCTAAACTTTTCTGTCTCTTGGCCCCTCCCTCCTGGGCATCCAGTCCACCACATGTGCAAAGGCAATTTTCCTAGGGAGTTACTTCTGATAGTGATTTCTTCTTTGATAATAAAAATAGTGGCAATGGAAGATCTGCTTTATATGTGAGTGATGGAAAAGTTCCTTCTCTCCTGGAACAAAGTAAAGATGGGATCCCAAAACTGGGATCTTCAAACTATAATTGGCGCTGCTTGATGCTATTTGGCCTTTTTTTCTATCTGATTTTCAACATTTTCGTGCGTATAAATGGGTTTGTATGTGGGTGTATGTGTGTATTATTTATACTCTACCGCAATCCATTAGACACTTGGCAGCTGTATGTATGTATAAATATATAATTAGGGGAAGCTAGCATGTTGCAAAAAATTCTTTGCTTCAGAATTCATGCACTAAATTAAATCCAGTTAGAACGTCAATTTCACCATCTCAGCCACAACCTTAATTTTTTAACCATACCCTGCTACCTTTGATCTTTGTTTATCAGAATGGCTTCCAAGTCATAAATGGAAAGAAGAAGAAATGTTTTTTTTACAAAAAAATAAGTGCTTTGTTGGAGTGCCCAGAGGAAAAAGAAAAAGGTAGGGAAAAAAATGACAATACAGATGTAAGATAGGGCAAAATGAACAATAATAGGAGAAGCAATGAGACTTAGATAGCTCCAAAGTCCAAAGTCAAGCTTCTGGAGAAAAAAAATCACAATCGGGTGCATCATGATATTATGCATATGATGCCAATTATGTAATATGCATCATGTGTGATGATGGCATGATGCTTGCTCCTACTGCTTCTTCCATCTATGATATCCAAGCAGTTTCAGTTTTGTCTTTTGTAAAATAGATATCTTTCGTACAAAATAGAGCAAGAATGCAGACCTGATCCAACTTTTGGACTTTAGCAATAGCAATAGCACTTAAGACCACTTCATAGTGCTTTACAGCTCTCTCTAAGTGGTTTAGAATAGAATTATTTATTTGTCGGTGCACAACATATGTACAATGAGATTGGTTGAGCTCCCTAAGTGGTTTACAGAGTCAATGTATCACCCCCAACCATCTGGGTCCTCATTTTACTCACTTCAGAAGGATGGAAGGCTGAGTCAACCCTGAGCTGATCAGGATTGAACTGCTGGCAGTAAGCAGTGAATTAGCTTGCAGTACTGTCAGAGTTTGTTACAGAAAAATCAAGTCTAGCATGCACACAGAGATAACTGATTCAGCTGGATTCATTAACTTCTTCATATGCATAATAACAGATGAATAAATGTACAATACCAATATAGGTTTTCTCTAACGTAGTAATAGTTACAAGCAAACACAGGCAGCAGTACAGCAGAGAGGAATTTACAGTTCAAAGTTCAGAGCAGACACACAGCTTTAAACTAGTTTACTTCTCAAAGCAGCAGACTCAGAGCTCAGAGCTTATAGACTAGTTTCAGTTTCAATTCTCAGCTAAGTCACCCTCAGACTCCAAGCTTAAGTTTCTGTTTCCAAAAAACAGCCCTCATTGGCGGTTGCTATGCCTATTCATTGCTGATTTATTCCAGTCTATGAATATTCATA